GGAGTGTAAATTTAATTAAATATTAATCTCTTCGTAATTGCGTGATGGCGGAGTTCAAGAATGATCGATGAGATGATCGTGTATTGGCAATCGTGGTGCATTTAAATAAACAAAGGTATTTTCTTGTAATTGTAATGTTTGTAAATGCAATTTGATTTATGAAAATTACATAAATCAATTTAATAGACAAGAAAACGTGAATAGATTTAAACGAGATTGTGCACGAATATTTTTAATTTATTTACTATTATAGGAAATTTATTTGAATGGATTTAAGGAAGAAAAAATTAAATTATAATTTTTTTATTTAAACTTTTAAAGAAAATACAAACATGGTGTGTGTTAGCAAGGTTACGGTTGTGAAAATATCCGACGAACCCAACCTTGATGTCTGTACACATTTGATATGGTGATTAAATTTTTTTGTGCGTAATTAAATGTAATTATTGCTTTGGTAATAGGTACGGGTATAAGTATGTAAAATATAAATGAATATTAAAATAATCTTCTACTCAATTACAAGCTTTAATGCTAATATTTCAGAAGATATTAAACGCAAGCTGTCGTTTATGTGTTAAATTAAGAAAATATTGGTTCTTCACTACTGTTTACCGTACAATTTTTTAAATTCCATCCAAGTTATTTACTTCGTTTTCAGCAAGATCGAAGTTGTTCTTTCACCTTAAAAAATGTGTGCGTGTTTGATGTGAAAGGGCACGCTGTTACTCTCTAATTTAACGAATGCCTTGGCATCTCGACTTTAGTTATAAGGTATTTCGAGGTCCTTTACTAACAACATTATGTGACAATCAGTACAATCTTGATTAAAAACATAAAATATTTTCTTAATCTATGATCTTAAATAGGCGCAGGCTGAGATCTGACAGATTGCAAAACTGAGAAAAATAAAACATGGCGAAGACATCCAGAAGAATAAACACAGTATATAGGTGGAAGTTCTGAAAAAAGAATTCTGAAATCCTTAAGACAGGGATTACAATCATATCACCAATAACGCTCGAAAAATGATGCGCCTACTTTAAGCAGTGTGGTAAACTCTCCTTGTTAGGACCATCGTATTTCACTGAGTCCCAGCACTTGGATTTTGTATCTATCCATTTCTCTGGAGATTTGGGTGAGCCTGGTGGTTTGACGTTCTATACTCCAAATCGTGTCCGTATTTTCATGTCAAAAGTCGTCATCTTTTTATTCGTCCGGCTATCATCTGTTGACGTTTCAAGAATCGGATTGTTTAGGGCTGGCGGGTGATTAGTCCACTGCTTCATCCATAGCTTCCAGACCGCCCTCCGCAAAAGCTGGTCTTTGTACAACGTTACTCGATTGTCAGAGCCTCGTCGGTTTCTAGCAGGGTGTACCGCGAACAGGTGAGGTTGGCTTTTGGGTCGGCTAGATGTCAGGCACCGTCACCCCTATTATTACACTACAATCAAAGAAAGAACAAGAGAAAATTTACGTATAATAGCATCCGTAATCAGAATAACCATAAAGGACACAACGAAAAAAGCATGTACATTTTTGAAAAATTCGAAAGCATCGGTACTCAATAACAACCCAGCAGAGCTTGTAAAATGTTAAACTATACCAACACCTTGTGAAGTAATTTAGAACTGCTTTAACCAATTCCAAAAGAATGAAATACAGCCTTTACATCCACCATACATATAGAGTGGCAGGCACGCTGTATAAAGTATATGGCAAGATCCTGACCAACAAAATAGATCTCGAGTAGAGGCTTCTATATTTCTGTAGTAGGATTTCGGAAGTAGGCATAATTCCGGGCTGGAAGAACTATAATAGACCACCTCTTCTGTGTCTTCCAGATAATGAAAAAAATAGCGTATAATCATGAAACCCACTTTGTGTTTATAAAATAACTCAAAAAGCGTATGACAGCATCTCACAAAATATGTTTTAATAAGTCATTATAAATTATAAACATCAAAAAATCGAAAGAAAATCAGTGTGATAATAATAAAGGCTGTAAAAAATTTATACCAACAAGCAACAGCTAAAATCAAGATAGGACAGAGATTGTCGAATGGCTTCCACAAAAGTGCTGCACTCAAGCGGGGATGCTGCCTAATTATAATCTCGTTCAAATATGTCTGGTATATCTGGAGCAAGCACTAAAATGATGGAAAAGAAAACACAAAAGTATGGGTATTTCGATATTCGACAGCATCTACACACTATGTTTCGTCGACGATCTAATAATAATCGTGTAGGACCAGAAAGATATGGAATATACGACCAGGAAGGTTCTAGAGGAATACAGTGAATGGGCCAACTGCGGGACCTTGACCTAAACGATGGGAAGTGTATAAATTATACCAGCACGAAATAAAGTATAGAAGCATAGTGCAGAAAACCAATAGCTTTGGTGTATATGCCATTCATCATTGTGGGATAAAGGTATCTCGAACAAGAATAAGCATCATATTTATGAAACGATTGTGCCCTTAAAGGAAAAACGGAGAAAATTCTGTAGACACCAGAATTGGATTACTGGTGAAGAGCGTAAATTTTATCTTGTTGATTGATATCTTGACCAAGCGTTAACATGGTTATCTTATTATCACAGTTCATTGTACATTTTATTTTTCATATTTTACATAAATATATTAGGGTACATTCGATTAAGCTGTTCTCTTTGGTTAAGCTGGTGTATAACAAACCCAAAGCTTTATTTTGGGTACAATAATTATATTTACAACAGCAACCTATTTTCAAAGTTACGCTGTTGTTCATATGACCTTTTCGCTGTCGAGACCTAGATTTATTTTCATTCAGAATAAGGAATAACCGGCCAACTGTACGGGCTGTCTTAGGTGAATCCCGGTAACATCTTGTTTATCATGTGACATCTTGTTTACTAAGAATGGCATGATTTATACTAATAGGGATAGTGTAGACATTAAAATGGTTGGATCACAGTTGATGCGGTCTCTTTAGGTTGTGTTGGATGGCACATAATTCACTTAGAAGTCGCTACTCTTACATAATGTACTTATTGCACAAAATTGCGTTTGTTTACACTTATTCTATTTCATATTAATTGCCGTACAGTTATTATTGCTTCATATCTGTCTTGTGAATTCATGCCTTCCTGTTATATATGGCTTTGAAAGGAGGGACAACATTTCTAAGCTCTTCAAGTTACTGGTTAGTTTAATATGTGATAAAGATTTGAAGTTCATTTTTTGAAATTCAGTCATGATCTTGTGTATTAGAATGAAATAGTTTATCTTTCTTGTAAAAGTATTTATCGAACTGATGTTTACAACCTAAATCTCACCCACGGTTTCTAGTCCTACGGCATAGATCGTCGAAAATTCAATGCTCATTTTTTATTTATACCAAATACCTCTCATATCATATTATCATGTCTTTGTAAACATAACTGATGGTACACATGAGTACGCCGCGTCACATCTTTTACATTACAAGTGAAACGACGACACCATGCAACATATTAGCGCAATAAATTATCAAAGATTTATGGTAAACGTGAAATATTATTAATATAAAATAAAAAGCATAAAGTGTTATTAAGACTTTATCTAATTTTAAAGACTCTCTTATCGTAGATAACTTGTAAACTTTATTATAAATTGAATACACAATCTTTTCGTATTTACCAATTTTACATTCGCTATACCTATTTAATGTCGTTACGTTAACCTTTTCAAAATACGAGTTCGTACAACCACCGTTTTACGGATCCCCTTGCAATTAGAAAGCTCAATTCCACTAATTACGCAGATTTTCTTCGTCGACTCGCACGATCCGAATAACGATCTCAAGCTCTTACATCACGTATTATTACGGAACGGCATAAAAGTAGCAAAAAACCAGAAAGCCCAAACGACATTTGTGATTAATTGGGATCGCATCCTGTATTTTACCGACTAAACTATTGCGAATCGCATCATTAGAGAGGCGATTATTATTTCGTCACCGATGCGTCTATTTTATAACTCAATTAAATGCGTAAAAGTCGATGAGAAGGTGTTATTTAAGAATGATATAAGAAGCATATTTCATTATTATTCATTATATTTCGTTATTCAGAGCTATTGTTATTGTATTATACTATTTCGATTCTCTCGGATGTTGGTGTAACGTAACAGTTCGTCGGGAATAGAAAGAAAAAAAGAGTGGAAATAACAAAGGCATGACGTCTTTGTTATTTTTTTTTCTTGTTCCCTTTCTTCGCTTCTCGTTTTAACAAGGTGATGTTGCTTTAATTGCCAAGTGGCGTACGCTGAGAGAATTCAGGTCATCGCTTTATCCGATACTGAAAAATATGTACGCACGTGAGAAAACGACGTCGATCGATCCATGGGATTCCAAGACGATTTAGGTGCGAGAATGATGAAACTTTTGCATTGAGATTGAAATCGGTGCTTGTTAAAAATAATATATTTAACAATAACAAATTTCTTGAAAACTTTAATTTATTTAAATTCATTTCATCTTAGATATCGTAAAAGCTTTTCTCGTGGAATGAAAGTATTGTGTAGTGCGGTCACGGTACTGCACTCTCTTCATTATAAGAACCGCAGAAGGTGCTGCTGCTGGTAGCGAAGCTCTTGCGGAGGCAGTAGGTCAAGCGCACCACAACACTATTGGCGGGAAGCTAAGGTGTTCGTGTGTGTGGTCGAGAAGCAATCACGTCGTCTGCACGTCTTCGCATTTTATGCACGCGCCGGTTGATCAATCTTTAGCCGCAGCGCGTTGGGAGAAGGCAACGGTCGTAATAGAAAGTAGCATCCTTCCGCTGATTGTACTGGAACAACCTTAACCTATGCAGAATCCGGAGGAGATTACGATTATTCAAAATTACATCCGGCTAGATCCGATCGGTCAAATTGTACACCAGTCTCCAATAGGTGTTAAAAACATTATCAGATTCAATTCTCAAATAAAAAAGTTAATAATTATGAAAAACTTTAATTAGTTATTTATTTTTATTACAGGTTATAGCAGTTTTAGGCTGCTCATTTACAGTATTTGGTGCAATAGCACCGGGTCAAAATGCTTACTTGCCACCAAAGGAAAATGGGTACCATTACGATAAACCAAGCGTGCCATTCCCTCCAAAACCACCATCTCCTCAACCTCCCCGACCAACTTATGGTCCTCCAAGTCCTCCAAAACCAACATATGGACCTCCAAGTCCACCAAAACCAACTTATGGACCTCCAAGCCCTCCAAGACCAACTTATGGACCTCCAAGCCCTCCAAGACCAACGTATGGCCCACCGAGCCCTCCAAGACCAACTTATGGGCCACCGAGTCCTCCAAGACCAACTTACGGGCCACCGAGTCCTCCAAGACCAACTTACGGTCCACCGAGTCCTCCAAGACCAACATATGGACCACCAAGCCCCCCACCACCACCTAGACCAACTTATGGACCTCCAAGTCCTCCAAAACCAACATATGGACCTCCAAGTCCACCAAAACCAACTTATGGACCTCCAAGCCCTCCAAGACCAACTTATGGCCCGCCGGCTCCGCCAAGACCAACGTATGGCCCACCGAGCCCTCCAAGACCAACTTATGGGCCACCGAGTCCTCCAAGACCAACTTACGGGCCACCGAGTCCTCCAAGACCAACTTACGGTCCACCGAGTCCTCCAAGACCAACATATGGGCCACCAGGCCCCCCACAACCACCTAGACCAACTTACGGACCGCCAACTCCACCACCGCCAAGACCGACATATGGGCCTCCTTCACCACCGAGACCAACGTATGGCCCGCCTCTAAAACCAACGTATGGCCCGCCACCAAAACCGACTCCAACTTCACCTACACCACCTTACGGACCTCCAGATGGAAAACCTCCAAGGCCAGGACCGATACCTCCATTCCATCCATCACCTTCTCCCCCAAGACCTACACCGCCAGCTCCATATGATGGTGGATCTTCAGATGTAAGTATTAAATAACTTAAATACCTCCATATATTATATTGATTGGTTATATTTTAGCACCACCATCATCACCATCACGAACCAGGAATGCCGTTCGATTTTACATACGCCGTTAAAGAACCAGAGTTTGGAAATGAATACTCACATAACGCCATAAGTGATGGAGACATTACAAGAGGAGAATATAGAGTTCAATTACCCGATGGAAGAACGCAAGTAGTAAAATACACTGCTGATTGGCAAAATGGTTACAATGCCCAGGTATCAAAATGAAACTGTTTAAATTCAAGTTAATATGTTTTATTATTAATTTCAGATAAGTTATGAAGGACAATTAAATTACCAATCGTTTAAACCTAGTCCTTCTCCTACCGGAGGATATCCACAAGGTCCACCTTTAGTACCATTCAAACCACCTGTGCAACCACCAAGTCAGGGATATCCAAGTGTTAGACCATCTCCCAGTTTTCCAAGCGGTCCAGGACCGACAACTCCTCAGCAGCAGTACTCTCCCGGGGGAGGTTACAAATATTAAGGACGTCTTATAAGAGTGAAAATCGCCGATAATATCTGTTCTTGTAGCACTGCCATTGGAGAGAACAGAAACGTTTTAGGTATCTTCGGCTTACCGCCACTGGACTTAATCTCAATCGATCAGGAATTAAATAGTTTATTAAACAGCGAACCGACCGACTTGCTAAATCACACTGACTTGCTCTTGTAATTTATTCTGAGATGATGTATCATACTGTGTAATATAAATACTTTTAGTAGATGAAACAGATGTGTATATTTTTTACATTTTTTTTGATAAATAAATGAACGAATGTTTTGGTAGTTAGTAGTTTATTATTAATTTAAAAGAAATTTATAATATTGAAATTAAATTTGACGAGATATGCAACCAATCATTCTCTTCTTTTAAACTATTAATTAATTATCAATGTAATTTTGTGTATATTATCACATTCAAAATAAGCTGCTGTTAATATCAAGGAACTTTCAATTGACTGATTGAAATCTAATCCTTGGAAGACTGATGTATCCGTAATTACATGGAGGCGAAGAACACTTCGCTCGTAGAGATAATGTAAGTGCATATTAGGTTGTGTTAGCTCGAAACTTGGAACAACGTTCTTACGCAAAATTTCATAAACCATGAATTGAGAAGAAGAGCAGGGTTTAGAAAAAGTTATCATTTAGTTAATCTAATGCCATACTCTTTAATGATCTTGACACCATTGTACCGTTGATCATCATTGGTGGGCAATAAAATCTGGTCACCTATATCATAAAACCATCTCAGATAATATTTGATTTAAATATAAGTTATCACTTCCTGGATATTGATAAATTAAGTGAATGGGGTTGCATACATGCTCCGAACAAGTTCGGGAAGGATCTAGAAAGAATTCTAAAGAGTATCAGAGCGTCATTGACTTATCCTGCAATTAAATACTAAAATATTGAGACAAATAACTTTTTCTTTTTGTACATCTGATGTTTTTATTTTATTTTATTTATGCTCTACCGTTTTCGCCCGCAGCCATCATTCAGGAGCGTCTACAATTAAACCACATTTATATCATTTTATATTTTATTGTGTTAATAATTGTATGTGGTTGTATGTGGTTGAAATCGGTAGAGCATAAATAAAATAAAATAAAAACATCAGAAGTACAAAAAGAAAAAGTTATTTATCTTATTTATAAAGCTGATGAATATGGACAAAAAAACCCTAAAACTGAAATGTTAGTTTTTTGTTAATTTCATTTCAATAACTGCTGTAAATACTACTGCTAGTGTATGCAGAGGTGAACAACCGTGAGATTGAATTAATAACAATTTTTCGAGCACTTCGTCTAATTTGGCGGATGTTGAGTTGATAAACTTTGGTATAAGGAATTTGATTACGTAAAGAACTATAAAATCTCTTGCTTCATTTCTATGATATTAAACTTTTTCCAATTTGTGCTACCAATTTTTTTTTTAATATTAGGTAAGTGATTCGGCAGGTCAAATATCGCAACATTTAATGTAAATTCGAGAACGAACGTTGTCTACTACTTGAACGCAAGAATGGTCAGTAATTAGATATTTCATTGTGTGGCCTTACCTTCTTGCTTCATAATTTTTTCGCAGGTTTCTACTCAAAGCGTTTGCTACGATGTTGGGGTAGCTTAAAGGGAGTAGCTTTGTGGCATTTGATGGTATAATTGTATTCAGATAGTATCACAAACAATTTTCAGATTCTAGGATTCAAATCTGTCTTGTTAGACAATATTTTTAGACCATCAGTAATACTTAGATATACTTTAGATCTTAACAACGTGCACACTATTACTAGTGTTTTCAACTCAAATACGTGGTAGTTGGTTTCGCCTTTAGTTGCTTTCCTACTAAATTACAAAATCGCATGTAGTAGTAGTCGATCTTGTTGGGGTTGGCTTCTTTCACGCCTTGATATCGTAAATCGATAATATCGATTTCGATCCTAATTCGGTTTTTTCAAGCCCTGTTTAAAAGTATAATTCTCTTCCCGTGGTACATTGAAAACCATTTGTAGCTTCTCCATTACTTTCTCAATCGTATTGGATGGTATGCCATTGTTACGTCGTACTTTAGAGATCCAAACTAGTTCTTTAATATCTGGAAGACTGTCGATATGTTGAATAGACCTAAAATCGTTCTATTGAACTGGAAATGCCCATCAGGTGTAATAAAAGTAGTTTTCTTTTTAACTCTATCCTTCTATAGGACTTAATAATACCTACTGCATAAATCAAGACTACAGAAATATTCGTTGCCTTTTAATAATCTGTCTATCTCTTTGCAGTTCCAACTAATGTCATAATTGCATAATCCATAATGATTTACCGCTACCTTATCCCAATCGTACAATTCCCTGAATTCCCAACGAATATGCGCACGAATATCTCCGCGGTCGCCACGCACGTAGCTATCAAAAAGTTCTGGTTTGGTTCAAACTGGAAACTGTCACTTTACTAAGTTTTCTGTTTTTATCCACTTCTGATGCTGTTAGGAATGACACAATTTTTTTTTTGGTGTTTGGTTATTTTTTAACTGTTACATATTCGTCATCACATGACACTAGAGACCAAGTTGTGCTATTTAGTCTAATAACAAGACGTAGTCTGCCACCTCATTAAACTTAAGGTTACTGACTGTAATTTAATTTCTGGTTCTAACAATTTCGTCATCTATACACTTAGAACCAATTGACTTCGTTAATAATTTTGATAATTTAGAGAAAGTATGACATTCAATTGTAGTCAGATGTTTAGCATAGCAATTACATTTTAAGATTAAAATTTTCAAAATTTTACTGAAATGTCATTTAGAATCTTATGTTACTAAGGTCGCAGATTGTCAAGTCATGTGTGTAAACACGACCTTAAACTTTATGTTTATATGAATAATTATTATATTGTTTTTTATTGCTAATAAATATATTAAGAGTTGTTTTAATCGTAACTTTTCTCTATAAAAATCATAAAATAACTTCTGTTTTTATTGCACATTTATTTAATTTCTATAACTATACAAAAAATATATCTCTTTCATGTTAAAATCACTATATCTAATTAAATTATAATTTGAAATCGTCTATATCTATTATTGCAACGATCGGCAGTGTTGATATAGTAAGACTAGTCCATTACGAACATAACGGACAAGTTTAACTATGAGTAATAAAGTAGCATTTCATAAAATGAATAACATCCATAAAGATGTTTCATATGAAGTTTACAGACCAGCGTCTTATGGCTTATTTTTATTTAATTTAACATTAGATTGCTATGACCACAATAAATTTACGGTGCTCCGTAAACTGGTGTGGGTTTATTTCTATTAGAATCATAATTTCCAAAATTAACTCCATCATTCACGTTATTATATCCGTTATTCGATGGTGTATTATAATTGTATCCACTACCACCGTTGTTGTTGTTGTAATTTTGATTATCATAATTGTTATTATTGTAATTATTATTATTGTAACCTTGAGTACCACCGGAAATTACTGGTGGGGTGTATTGATTTCCAGGATTATTATAACCATTATTATTATTGTTGTTGTTATATTGATCAGGATATTGAGCTTCTCCTTCGTATCTAACATCAGCATGGAAACCAGTTTGCCAATCTGCATAATAAGTAACTATTTGGGTTCTCCCATCGGGTAATTGAACACGATATTCGCCTTGAACTTGATTTCCATCACTCTTTTCTTGCCTTCCATAATCATTTCCACTATAATCATCTTTTACTTGGTAACCAAATTCATAAGACATTGCCTAAAAAATAAACATCAAATAAAAAGTTCATAATTGATTAATAACTTTATTAACCTGGCTATGATCGTGATCTTGTTGTCCTTGTCCGCTATACTGACCGTTATAATTTCCATAATCCCCATTACTATTATATCCTCCTCCTTGATAGTTTCCGGTTTGACCTACATTTCCTTGTCCATTGTTATTGAATGGAACACCGTATTGAGGAACTGGAGGTTCTGCACAGATTGCTGTTATGTAGACAGCAACAAATAGCAATACTTCCTAGAAAAGTTACAATACGGATTAATTTTCCCATCATTTGCAAAGAAACACTTTCATAATAATTATAAATAAAAACCACGAACTAATCTAAAATGTATTTTGTGGCTTAGCATAACAAATCTATATCCGCAATCATAAAATGTACCTAATAAGTATCGAATCGATCAATAAAAAATAACAAAGCCCCAGACGTCCTTGTGCACGCCGTATTTATTACTTATTAGTAAGTCATAACGCGTGATTTTTAATTATTTCCATCATCTTCGTTTTTGTTGTCATTAAACGGAAAAAGACGTTGACTTATGCGTTTCCGTTGTGTCCTCTTAAATTCCTTACGCAATCGATTAAGTGGACGTATATTTATGATGAATATATCCTACCTATTTTGTAATTATGTAATTAAGAAACGTTTGTCTACTTTAAATAACGTCCACCAGATTTTATGTATATGACATAAATGACATAAACACAATCTGTTACGGAAATCTTGAACGAATGCTTATGAATGAAAAGCGTGGTGATGTATGTTTACAATGTGTAATAGTAATTATCGTTGTTAGAGTGATGTAGTAACTGAATTGTTTGTTATAAGAAAATGAAAGTTAATGAGGTTGGTTTTTGTTATTAATAGAGGATACTTTATTATGTTTATTTGGAATATAATTCCTAAATATACTTTTAGTTCCAAATTCCTCCTCAAAACACGTATCCTTTTTTAAGAAATTGCTCAATTTTAAGTGAACACTGTAGCATTACTACAATGATAAAACATAAATGGAGGAAAGTTACAGTAAGTGTAATACTTGCACGAAAGAATAGAAAAGATCAAACTCTTTTAATAACATAATGATTAGCAAAAAAACGTGTAGCCGAAGTAGACAAAATAGTTGTTACATTGATTTTATCCAATGTGTGAGTCTTAGGTAATCAGAAACAATAAAGATGATCGTTAAAAATTATATGAAGATGAAATCCTTGGGGAGAACAAAAACAAATTTGGGAAACCCAAAACAATAGGTATTTATCTTCAAAATTATAAGGAAATTTCGAATGCAGAAAAGCCTTCAACCACCAAAAGGACATTATATATTTAAAGTAGGTATAATTAGTCGCAGAGTATGCTAATTTCATCGTGAAATAGAGTCGACAAGAACAGCATATTTAAGGAAACAACCACAACTACCAGAGGATAAAGCAATGGATATTTATATCTTTGTTTATGCTGAAGGTGACCAAGAACATGCAGTAATGAAATCATTAACTATTTAAAGTTTTTTATTTAAATTAACTATTTACTTCTAAATCTATGATTTACCAAAAATGCATAAACAAGATATCCAACTCAAATTTATCGTTAATATTTGGGATTTCTCTTGTTATTCAACGGACTCCATCTTTTCAGCGGTTTTCCTGCTGTCTTTTTCCCTAGGGGTTGATTGTGTTTGCATACTTTAGCAATTCGGTTTTCCGCCAATATCCTGTATACCACATCTCTCTCTTACCGCTTTGTTTGGTTCTGACGGACCTTAACTCAGGTTTTGTCTTTCTCTGTATGGGCGATCGTTTGGAATTTCGTCTCTTAGATAGTTGATTATCAAAGTATCACATGTTCTATGACTTACTTTTTCAGCCCCAGACTTGATCTTTCAGACAGCTTACTAATGTTTTGGTAAAACTGTTCAAATACTGATTTAGTATTTTTTGATGTTATGTATAATTTCTGGAGTAGCAATTGGAGATCATTTTCATCGTTTCAACATCGTCTGCATAGCAGATTATCTTTATCTTGTCGTTACCCATTTTGAGCCCGTTTAAAGATTTGACTTCTTCTATTATCGTTTCTATAATTAGATTAAAAAGGAGTGTACTCAGCGTAATCGCCCTATCTGATTTCCTGGGAAACCGAGATCTCCTCAGTGGTATCGTTGTGTACATTAATCTTTATATTGTTCTCTGTGTTTATCTCCCCAACTAGCCGTATTATATTATAAAGTAATTTTCTAAATATTAGTATATTGGGTACGGCTTTTAATTTGACTCTTTCAAAAATGATGATCTGTTATATTATGAAGATCGTCTATTATACTTCTATTCTGTCAGAATTCCTGCTATTCGTCCGAAATTGGTGTCATTTTCTGGAACTTTTGGTATGATATTATAAAAGTTAATAGTTTTAGCGTGGTGTTCAATAAGATTATGCCCCTATAGTTTTCTGGTTTCTTTTTATCTTCCTCTTTGAATATTGGAATTGTAATGTGTGTCTTCCACTCTTGCGGAATCATTCATATTGACATTATTTTCTCTAAGAGATTCTCTAAACATATTCATTCACATCTTTTTTCTGATTTTGAATTGTCTTCCAATCTATTTTCTTTGCTCTATATAAATCCGATTTTATGTTTTTCATGAACATTTCCCAGTGTCATCTTTCTATAATTTTCTTTATTTTGGCATTTACTTTGTTCAGAACACTTTTCTATTTATTTCTGTGTTTGTGAGCTTCTATACTTCAAGTACGCGTTTCTTTTCTCATTTTCCAGTTCCTTAACCACTGCAGTATACCAGGATGTTCATGTTGGTGTTTACGTTTTCTTAGTGCTTCGTATGCAAGTATATTAGTTTTTAATTTGACCAGATTGTTTCCAATGCATCGTCTTTTTTTATGTTATGAATGGAGGCATGATCTCTTCTGCTACAAATTTATTATACTTTCCTCTGCTATAACGAACTTCACGATTGTGGCAAAACAGATTTCGAGAGATTGTATTTATTTCAGTTTTTGAATGAAACTTCTGAAACCCCAGCCTCAAACAATTAAATCAAACAAGAAGAATAGAAAAAATAATATATTTAGGTAAAACCATGTATAGCAGTGAGCGAATGATCTATAGATATTTTCTTTCAAATTTTCGCTGAAAATTTCAGTTCAATATGAATTGAATGTTAGTCGTTGTAAAAAAAATACGTCATGTCTAATACTTGAAACTATGTCAACAGACTTTTTGATACTAGTGTTGCAACTTTACTGTTTCAAATTAAAGAACAAAACAACAATAATATGTTAGTGAATCAAGACAAGTTGTGAACTCCTGATAAAATATGAAACATTTACATGATTGGAGGACTTGACGCGAATCTAAATATTATGTCTATGTTTGCTACTTGAGTTTAGTTCAGACTTCGGGTTATAATTAAACAATAATAATCAAATTGAATTAGTACCTCATTCAGGGTAAACATTTCTGTCAGTCTATGAAGATATTATTCGATATTATATTTTGAAATGTAATGATTTAATTGTTATTTTAAAATGGATACACAAAGTTCTCGTATTTTCGGTGGTTCTCGAGGAAGAAACCAACACTGTTACGAAAAACAATAGTTATCTAGAATAACATTAAACGTGAAAGAAAATAATATTATTAGTATATAGAGAAAACAGAATTTTTATACTACTTGTTATGAACCTTAGAGCTTTAAAAGCTTAAAAGATTATATTAATATTTAGTTGCATACATAGTAAGGCTTTACTATGTATTACTATGCATTAGGTGGAAGGGAATATTTGTTTTACAATCCAACTCAATCAAAAAAAAATGTGGTTTGTTTCTTCTTACTTTTTCTAGCAACAATAACGAGATAGAATGCTTTGCAAAATTCTTTTAATGTGACTTACTAAAAAAGTGACCATAATGACAACAATGAATTAAGTAAATTCATTCATAATTAATGAATTAAAAAAGTTTGACTTATTTGTGAATATAATTAATTATAAATTTAGTTTATTTTGTATTCAAGCTTTTTTATTAATTACCTTAACAAACATTGTTCACGTTAAAATAAATTTGTATTTTATTAACACACGACACAAGAACGTATAATAATATACGCGTAGAACAGGTGTAATATGAAGACTGGCCAAACGTAAAGTTTTATTTCATTTATATACGTATGCCACCGATTTAGTAACCTATTGTCTTTATCTAAGTGGAGTACTTTTACTAACTGGACGGGAGTTCTCCCACGGGCAAAGAGGGGACGTTCTTATTATTCAACTCAATCATGAGGAGGACCGCGCTCACACACCTACCTAAACCGACCAGCCACCCAAATTATTATACAACTCAAATGACTAATACCACATCAACTCTTTCTCCTCACGTATTAGGTACTTTTCAAATGGGTGATTTTAATATTTATTACTCGACTTTTTATGGTTACTGCTATTATTTATAATAAATACGGAAAGATCTGCGAAGGCATCAACCTCTAAATATGAGCAGAAGATTGAGTCATGCTTGTGGTTGGGATCACGGATGAAACGTAATCCTCAACGGGCGAAATTACGCAATTTCTTTGTTCTACATTTTCGCGAAATCTTCACGACTTGCTCGAGACTACCTTGATGATGCGTTTAATGACGTTACGTGCTTCATATTGTCTTTAAGATTGATTTCAAAAATGTTTCATTAAGAAATGAATTGTGTTTTACTAAACTACACCGTAGCACGTGATATGCCTACGTAAGATGTTTTTCTACATTATATGTTTCAATATTTTTTTAATGATTTAATGATTTTTTATTATGTAATATCTAATAAATGAAAATCATAATTTCGCAAAACCTTATTTTGTAATGCTCCAATTTAAAACGTCTTTAAAGGCAATTTATTTACAAAATGTAAAAGAAGATACCCATCACCTCCACCTGAACTTTACTTTTGTTAAGACACGGTTATTTGTCAGAAAATTTCGCAAACGCTGTTCGAATTGTATCCTTTCCTAGACGCCAAATTACACCTTTTGGTGAGCGCACTGTTTATTATTGCAAATTCGGGTGAAGAAAGATGTTTTTACCGCCATGTAACCTCGATCTCTGGGTTTTTGTTTGTGGTGATGAAATTTCTCCTCTCTTCTCGATGAGAAGGTAAAATATAGAGGATCTTCTTAACCCGTTTACATGCCGTACCACAAAAGTGATATAATCCCCTGTTCACACAACCTATAATTATCTATTCTGTTACTATTTCAAGACAACGGACGATTTCGAAATCGTTGTTAAGTAGTTTATTGTGTGCCTTTTTGTTTAATTATTGAAGTTTAATTACGTGTATAATGTTTTTAAAAGTAATGAATGAGAAGTCTTGTTTGGATTACTCAATAATTTAGAATCAAATTTAAAATGTTTAACACTAAATGGTGTTAAAAAAATATGTTGCAAAAATTAGAAATTTAGTGCAAAACTTAACAGAGATGAATGAGAGGATTTGTTTGGTTTGTTTAGCATTTTAGTATAAAATTTGAAAGGTGTTGTAAATATTTGAAATAAATGTTGAAAAATTGTGTATCAATGAAAGAATTATAATTTTAAGCAATTTGGATTTCATGTTGTAATAAATGAGTAAAAAAAAATTAAACAAAATAAAGTTAACTTCTGCAACTCAAACAGCGTATTCCAGTTTTCGTTTGTAATAAAAGTTGCTGATTATAATATTTCTAATTTTTTTGCTATTATATAAGTTGAAGTTTATTTTGTTTTCATTACCAATCATGGGCTATTAGAATTTATAGTAGTAGATCAAAAAGGAAGATACTGTGTCATAACAAAATATTAATGTTGCATAAAGTATGGGCACAGAACAACTTGTTGAACAATCAAAGTGTTGTATATGTTATGTATTTAGGAAAACCTTACAAAACAATCAAAATGGTGATAAAATCATTAAATGGAATTAGTCAAAGTACAATAAGGACACTTCCTCGTCACTTACTTGACAAGCAAGAGTAGTGATAGAGTAAAATAGAGTCATCAAAAGTAAAATAGAAATGCAATATCTTTGTTTGCACAAACCCGGCTTTCCCCCAAATTCCTACTCTGATATCAACTCGCCTAATCTTACGTTTTGTCGAGGTATGCAACAAAACTGTTACAACCCAACAAAAGATTTGGTTGTGGGTATATCTATTTCCAGGTGGAAAAGGGTGTCAGAAGGGTGCATACTCAATTCCCTCCTATTCAATATCTACGGCGAATGGACCATGAGGAAAGCCTTGGAAGACTGGAATGGGGAAATAACAATGGGAGGCGTAAAAATTAATAACCGCCGGTACGAAATCGGTCTAAGTGTGAACAAAAAGAAAACTAAAATTATGATAATTAGCCGAGCGAACGATAACAGACCTGAAATGAGGAAGATTGACACAGTCAATACGTACGAGAAGTCATGCAATCTGTTTGACACCGAAAATGAAGCTGGTAAGGAGCTATTTATCTTTGCGGATCAAAGTGCTGGTCATTAAAAACAATAGAAAAAATTAAAATCGAAGCCCTAGAGATGTTTTGCTGATGCAGAATGCTAAAAATTTAGTGAACATAGAGGAGAACTAACGAATCAAAACAACAATTGAAACAAAAAAAAAAGACTGTGAGTCGTGGTGGCTGAAAACAGCCCACCTTAAAGAGCATAGCAGCTGGCAAAAGGTCGCGTGTAACCTGGCAAGATATATCTTATCACAAACATCACGGGACACTGGTCTGGCGCGCACATCCAATATGACTGAGAATAAGAATGAATGGAGAAATGCTCTGGAGACCAACTCATAAAAGCTCGATTCTTGAATACGAGATTCGGATTGAGAAAAAGATATCTATGGTCATAAACCATAGGTCTATGGATTACCTTATTAAAATTATATAAATACTCAAAACCCCACGTAGTATTAAAATAGAACTATCAAAACAGAACTATCAAACTGATCGAAATACAAATAACTTCAGAAATCGTAGAGTTAAAGACAATGCAACAGACTTACACCTCAACATTCCTGCATCTTGAATCGTTCCCACAACCTCCCTCTTCTTAACTTTGATAACAACATAACATAATCAGACGCGGATATTGTATTATACATAAACGAATAGCCATACATAACTACATAAACCTTAAGTAAAGCAAACCTATCAATAATTCAAAATCCTAACCGAACCTAACCCATTTTCTATCTTGTCTATCTTGGCAAAAATTACGGGGAGTCTCTTCCCTGATAGATACATACAAACAAACATCTCCGTCATATTTGAACAAATAGCTATGTTAAGTAATAAAGCAACCTCACTCGCTGCTTTGGCATCGATAAAGCCTATGATACCATGACGCCCTCATCCACAAACTGATCCAGCTGAATAACTGCTCGCATTTTATCAAAATCACAAAATCCTTCTTATTCAACAGATCCTTTAGAATCAGAGAAAGTTTTGAACTAGAGCGATTAAAAAGTCAGCCAGCTGGAATCACTGGACATCGTGAATAAAACTAGATATGCACGCAGACAAAACAGTGACTTTCGCCGAAATTTTTCAAATAAACCAACTCATCAAAAAACTTCATATCTATCTACCACCTTCCTTTAAAACTATTTTCAGAAATTGAAAATTTACGTTAACATTAACAGAACTAACGTAATTCACTTCATCTGCAAATAAAAATTGTCACACCTCTCGCAATCTTTAACAGTCACTCTCTCATTACGACAAATTCCACAACATACCTTAGCATATCACTAGAAACTGTCGTATCATATACACATCAATATGACAATACTAATACTGTTAACCAAATTTAATGGCTATATTAATCAAAATCAAAGGCGTACTATATAAATCATATATTGTTGAATGCATATTCAGTAACACCTGAAAAATTTATTAGCCTATTGCAAGTCATCTAAAACATAACACTTCGATTGATACTATCTGCAAATCCAAGAGCATCCATAATCTTTAACGAGTCCACTAATATTTCTACTACTTTTATTTTAGGATTTCGTCAAAATCAACTACTATAAGTGATATCAAATTTGTTGTATACCATCATATTGGAGAATAATAATAGGGGTGATGTTGAGAATGATGATATTGAGAGTGATTTAAGATTTTGAGAAGGGCTAGGGATGATAATTGAAGATCAGTGTATCAGATCGATGTGAGATATATCAGAGGTCATGTTGAAAAATGTCAAGCAGAATGTTGATAGATGATTGAAACAATGTTGAAGAAAGCAGTGGATGATAATTAGATATACTATTAAATACTAACCTACAACAGCACTTAAAAGAATTTGTAGTAAATCTCAAAAAATGTATGTGACGAAGAAAAACATGATAATGTATTTCAATTTAACACGTTAAGAGACGCAAGAAAAAAATAGCTTTCCGTTCTAGAAAAGAGATTAAAATAATTTAAATATTTGTATATAAACGAGAGTAAACACTCCGTTTAAGTATATAACCATCCAGTTGTAGTTGTGACAGTTTTCTATTTCATGTCAGGTGGCCGCTGCTGCTAACCAACCTATTTGGACCTAATTGTAAAACATCTCATACCAAACCAGAGTCCTTCGTTTAATTACCGTCAGGCATCTTATAGGCGCACGCTCAAAGCCGTTCCTCCCATGAATAGAGAAATTATGGCATTCGCAATCCATTCGTTCGTTATACTATTAGCGCGTTAGAAAGGAGCTCGTGTTGACACACTTGTAAAAGGACCAGAAGACCTCTCTGGACCGTCATCGTCAACTCGCGCGCTCTACCCAACAAACGATCTTAATACTATCTCGCAACAGTGAAAACGCGAGCGGCTCTGAACGGGTCCATTTTTCCAGAGATCGTTTCACTTTTAAAATCTATACAGCGCGAAACGAAAGATTCAAGCGAACGTCTTCGATGATGGTGATACTAACGCAACGCCGCCAGGCGAAAAGAAATCATTAATTGTGACTGGCTCCACGATCTAACTTTTTTTTCTTTGCCATCGTCTCGTCTAAGAAATTTCACCGACGATGGACGGTACGCGTCAATTATATAAATTAATTAGGGGAATAAGTATTCGTTCGGTTTGTTTTTTTTTGACAGGTTGGGTGTGGT